TACCAATTTCTAGATTATTTTAGCTAGGTGCTCTCGTGCTCACACCTGTAATCCCAGCTACTCAAGAAGCTGAGATCTGAAGATCAAAATTTGAAACCAGCCTACGCAGGAAAGTTTGTGAGACTCACCTCTAATTAGTAAAAAACAAAGTTGACGTGTAGTTCAAGTCGTAGAGTGCTTAGAGCAAAAAATGAAGCTCAGAAGCTGGGTACCAGTGGCTCTGTAATCCTAGCTACTCTGGAGGCTGAGATCTGAAGATCATGGTTCAAAACCAGCCTGGGCAGGAATAGCCATGAGACTCTTTTTTCCAATTAACCACCAGAAAACCAGAAGTTGTTTTGTGGCTCAAGTGGTAGAGCCCTCACTTTTAGCTGAAGACTGTGAGGGACAGTGCCCACACCCAGAGTTCAAGTCCAACAACTAACCACCCCCCCCCAAAAAAAAAAAAGATGGCCAGAATTAGCTGGGTGCCCCTGCAATCCTAGCTACTCAAGAGGCTGAGAACTGAGGAGCAGGGTTTGAAGCCAGCACAGGCAGGAAAGTGAGACTCTTCGCTTCAATTAATCACAGAAAAAGCCAGAAGTAGCACTGTGGCTCAAGTGGTAGAGTGCTAGGCTTGAGCAAAAGGAGCCCAGGGATAGTGACCAGGCCAAGTTCAAGCCCCATGACCAGTGGGGGTTGAGAGGAAGATGATCAGAATAACCACGTGGACAGCTTAATAAACTTATTTCAGTTCAGTCTAGTCATTCACCAGCTGGTTACTTTTTGGAGGCTCAATCTGTTCAATAACTCTCCTAACTTTGGGAAAAGGGTTTTACCAGGGACCATTCCTTTCCATATGGCAACTGTCACTCTCTCCATCACTGCATGACATTATTTTCTATTCCCTGATTAGGACAGTTATATTTAGATCAGGGCCTACCAGTAATGACCACTCCCCAATTTGATTTTGTATACAAAGCCATTTCCAAAGGGTCATACAGGAACCAGGAGATTGGACATTGACTTCTTTCTGAATAGTGGGGTTTGAACTTAGGGCTTCATACTAACTTGACTGACACCCAACAACTTGAGCCATATCACCAGCTCTGTTTTTAGGCGCTGTTCCTGACCAAATTTTGCTCAAGGCTGGTGGCTCTACCACATTGAGCCACAGTACCGCTTCTGGTTTTTGAGCAGTTAATTGGATATTAGAGTGTCACAGGGCTTTTTTGTTCAGGCAGGCTTTGAACCCCGATCCTCAGATCTCAGCCACTTGAGTAGCTAGGATTATAGGTGTGAACCACCAGCACCCAGCTTCTTGAAAACTTTTCTATGCATGTTGGCTTTAAATTTCAGTCCTCCAGATCTCAGCTGACTAAATTAGGTAGGTGCCCAGCAACTTTGATATACCTCTGTGTGCCACTCCTAGGATTTTAACTCAGGGCCAAGACAGTCATTTCTTTGCTCAAGGCTAGCACTTTAACACTTACTACAGCACCACTCCCAGCTTTCTGGTGGTTAATTGGAGCTAAGTTTCATGGACCTTCCTGCCTGAGCTGGCTTCTAACTGTAATCATCAGATCTCAGCCTCCTGAGTAGCTAGGATTACAGGCAGGAGCCACCGGCACCTAACCTGACATATCTTCTTACCAGACATGTCAACACATATTTGGGGGTTCTAGAGAAATCATTAGAGCTAGTCTTGTAGCTTATGGTAGGATATAGTTGACATCCTGGACTTAGACCAGGAGGTTTAAACAGGCAGGTACCTAGGCAAGACTTAATTTCTCCAATGAAACAAGGATAGCAAAAATACACAATTATCTCAACTCAGCCAACAGATGTGCACTGAGCACCTACTATGTGCCTCAAGTCTTTGAGAAAGTACAGTCCCTAAGACTTCACTAGACTGAAGTGGGAACCAGTGTTGGAGAGAGCACTGAGGCCGAGGGAACAGGGCTTGACTAACTCTTGTCCCTCTCAGGAGTCTGTGAGGTCAACCGGCAGAACCGAGCTGGCTACTCGGCACTCATGTTGGCTGCGCTCACCTCTGCAAGGCAGGAAGAAGACATGACTGTAATCCAGAGGCTCTTCAGCATGGGCGATGTCAATGCCAAGGCCAGCCAGGTATGTGGATGATCCTACTCTGACCAAGTTGGGGGTTGGGGAGTGTCACTTTTCACTTTGAGCATTAAGCCCAGCCCCTGACCTCTTCTCCCAGGCCCTGCTCCAGCTATGTCTTCTTCCCCATTTCCCAGACAGGACAGACAGCCCTCATGTTGGCCATCACCCATGGGCGCCAGGACATGGTGGCAGCCCTGCTGGAATGCGGGGCCGATGTCAACACACAGGATGCAGATGGGGCCACTGCACTGATGTGTGCCAGCGAGTATGGACGCCTGGACACTGTTCGGCTGCTGCTGGCCCAGCCGGGCTGCGATCCTGCCATCCTGGACAATGTAAGCTGCTACCGTGGAGTAGGCTTGGGGATCCTGTGTGCCCACCAGTGGCTCAGGGACCTGATGTTCCACTGTTCCTCAGGAGGGAACCAGTGCCCTGGCCATTGCCCTGGAGGCTGAGCAGGATGAGGTGGCAGCTCTGCTGCATGCGCACCTGAGCACCAGCCAACCTGACTCCCAGGTGAGTGTGGTCAAATTAACAGCATCTGGGCTGTTAGACCAATCAGACCCAAGGATGCTAAAACACACCCCCAGGCCCACCTTCCTGTAGAAGATTCTCCTGTATGCTTAGGACTTGGTTATTTGTCCTATGAACTCCATGAAGCATATTAAAGTCATACCTAGTTTGTTGGTCAGCTACCCGGGTACTCTGGGCCCCTAGCAGACTATCACAGGGTGTGGAGTGCCAGGCCCCGGGGGAAGACCATACCCAAGGGGTAGAGTCTACTTGGACAGCAAGTCTCAGGCTATCCTCAGCACATTTACCAATTTCCCAACCTGCCATCACCCTACACCTACCCCACTGTAGAGATGAGGAAGTAGAGGACCAAGTGCTCCTCCACATCACACAAAGGCAGAATTGATTCCAACCAAGAGAACCACAATAAAGGGTAGGCTTTTCCTTCACAGAAGAGACTTCTGCCAGATTCCACATCCATTAGCCTAGGAGGTGAAAGCCCCCCCCCCCACCTGTAAGAGACCCAAATAGCACCTCTTCCCTTTTCTCTAGTGCCAGTCACTCCCAGAGTCCCACACAACCACACCTGCTCAAGGAGAATGCAGTGACCATGGAGAGGACTCACAGCCTCAGTGATCAGCCAACAGACCCAATGCCAAACGTCCTCTCAGCAGTGCCTCTGGGTCAGATAGGCCCAGGTGCTCTGTCCAGATGCTCATTATACAGAAACATAGTTCCAGTTGTTCAGTGCCAGGAAAGGCTCACCTGGACCCCCCAAGGTGAGGTGAGTTTAAGGAATGGCACAGCTTGTGTTCCACCCATTCACTAAGTTGTTTTCTTTTTTCCTAATAAAGCTTTTCTTCTAAGCATGTGTGTCATCTGAGGGGCAGTGGGACTGGGGACACAAACAGAACACATCATTCCTCTTGTTGGGAAAACCGTATTCTCGAGGCATGCAGAGGGCCTATGTCTACTTGAAGCCCAAAAGCCAAGGCCAATATAAACCCCAGCCACAGTGTTTAAGCTGGTACTGTCTCACATCTGTAATCTCAGCTACCTGGATGCAGACAACATCAAGGTTTGAGACAAGCCAGTCAAAAAAAATTTGCAAGACCTCATCTCAACCAAGCAGAGTATGAAAGGATCAGATCTGTTATAATAGCTCGAGGTCCAGATTGGCCTGGGCAGAAATTCAAGACCCTAACTGAAAAAAACTAAAGCAAGAAGAGCTGGGGGAGAGTAACAGGAACAAACCCTAGTGCTGCCAAAAATTAAAAAAAAAAAACAACACCTAAATTGGCATATAAAGAAACACTTTATTTAACAGTTGCAGGTCATCCTGAGGGCCAAATAGATGTGTATATCCAGGACCCTGTAAACAGACATAAGCATGAGCTGCGATAGACCCCCGGCCAAATGGCAGAGTCCCTCTTGCCAGACCTCTGCGGTTCCCTTCTGTCTCCCCAAACCCTCTACCCACGGGTTAACCAAAGGTCTCAGAGGAGGAGGTTCTGCACCCACCAGCACCGAAGTTCAGCGCAACCTCCGAGCTTCTCGTTCCGACTCCAACAGCGTGAGTACGTCGCCCTCCCGCACGGGGCCTTTCACGTTTCGGATGATGGAGCGGCTGGTGTCGTCCATAAATTCTACTCTTACCTACGAGCCCACCGGAAGAGCAGGAAGAAGTTAGGGTGGGTCGTTGTTAGCATGGCGTGAGAAGTCCATGAAGGATTCCGACGCAGATGCCCTGGCAGCGTCGGGGAGAGGGCCGGATCCCGGACACAGTAAACTATTTCTCAAGTTCCATCTGCCACGGATCTGTCATAAGGGGATCAGAACCCAGGAACTCACCGGAGTGCCCAACACTCACCTGTGTGCACTGTCCCTGAGAGCCGGTCCTGCCCAGCACTTTGGTGACCTAGAGAAAAGAAGCTACATGTCAGGCCGGACGCCGGTGTTTCACGACAGGAAGCTGAGATCTGTGGATAGCAATTCAAACAGCCCGGGCAAGAAAGTGCGAGCGATTTATCCCCAATTAACCAGCAAAAAGCCGAGTAGAGGCGTGGCTCAAGTAGTAAAGCGGCAGCCTTGAGCACAAAAACTCAGAGCCCAGGCCCTGCGTTCAAGCCCCAGAATCGGCACACACAGAGGAGGAAGCTACCGTCAGATCCGGCTCACCCCGCTTTCCTACGCTTTTTTTCCCTTTCCCAGCTCCCCCAAATCGGGCTCCCGCCTCACCCTAGCCAGCTTGATGGGCTGCACACGACTCGTGTCCATAATGGCGGCAGCGGCGGTCTGGCGGAGAGGAATCACGTGTTCCGGGGCAAGTATTTATACCACGTGCTGGCCACGCCCACTTCCGTTCTCGCGACACTCCGTGGGGAGTTTCCCAGAAACACCCGCGGGAGAGACGTCACGGTCGTCCTTCAGCGCAAGGGAGAGATGGCGTCTGCTACTACCATTATTCAGAGACTGAGGAACTGGGCGTCCGGGGTGCGCCGAGAGAGCAGGGCATCGCTGGGGAGGTTGTGGGCTCCGTGGACCCCAAACCCACTCCCGCTCCCATTCTTCATCACTCACGTTAGCCGGACCCTTGCTCAATCCCCTGTCTCCTGTCGTGGGGTGCCCTGCGGGCTAATCCCCTGTCTCCTCTCGTGGGGTGCCCTGCAAGCTGATACCCCGGCTCCTCTCGTGAGGTGCCTTGCAGGCTGAACCTCCTTTCTCCTTCTCCCACAGCAAAACCTGCAGGCGAAGCTGCAGCTGCGCTACCAGGAGATCGCCAAGCGGTGAGCAGGCCCCGCTCGCTGACACCCCCTTCCCCAAGCCCCCGCGCACCCCTAAACCGAGCTGGGTCCTTTAGATGCCTGGAGCACACTGGGCAGAGTTCCTCCCTCCAGCCATTTGCCAGGGAGTGGAGACAAAAATCTTCCTGAACTTTGTGGGAACCCACCCCTCGTTCATTCTGGGTTGTTGGAATAAGGAATTCTAAGTTAAGTGCTTTGTCCCCAAAACACAGATTGGGGGAAAAAAGAGTTAAATCTTGCCAACAGTCACTTCAAAACTAGAAACTGACAGCTAGGGGTTGAAACCAAAAGTGTCCTGATTTCAGCCGGATCCTAATAATAATTTTTCAGAAGGATTTTATTTTTTATTTATTTTGCCAGTCCGGGGCTTGAACTCGGAGCCTAGGCACTGGCCCTGAGTTTCTTTTGCTCAAGGCTGGGGTTCTACCACAGTGCCACTTCTGGCTTTCTCTGTGTATGTAGTACTGAGGAACTGACCCCAGGGCTCCATGCATGTTAGGCAAGCACTCTACCACTAAGCCATACTCCCAGCCCTTTAGAAGGATTTTAGCATAACAGGACAAAATTAAGAGAAATGCTAGCTGGTCCTCATGCAGGAATTAAGCATTAAAGCTTCCTAGACTTTGTATTTATTTATTGCCAGTTCAGAGGCTTGAACTCAGGACCTGGGCACTCTCCTTGAGCTTCTTTTGCTCAAGGTTAGCACTCTACCACTTTAGCCACAGTGCCACATCCAGCTTTTTCTGTTTATGTGGTACTGAGGAGTCAAACCCAGGGCTTCATACATGCTAGGTAAGCATTCTACCACTAAGCCACATTACCAACCCTAGACTTTGTATTTTTAAAATGAGAAATACAACTGGGCACCCATACCTGTAATTCTAGCCACTCAGGAAGCTGAAATTTGAGAATCACAGTTCAAAGCCAGCTTGGGCTGACAAATTTGTGAGACCTTTTTTGTTCCCAATTAACCAGCAAAAAGCTGGACATTAACTAGGAGATAGCAAGGGGTGGATGACATTGTCCAAACAGAAATGTACTTTTTTTGTTGCTGTTGTTGTTGTTGTCGTTGTCCTGGGGCTTTAATTCTGGGCCTGGGCGGTTTCCCTGCTCTCTTAAGCAAGCACTCTACCACTTGAGCCACAGCACCACTTCTGGTTTTCTAGTAGTGTATTGGAGATCAGAGTCTCAGAGAGTTTCTTGCCCTGGCTGGCTTTGAACCATGATCCTTAGATCTCAGCCTCCAGAGTAGCTAGGATTATAGGCGTAAGCAGAAATGTACTCTTTACATGACTTATGTAACTCCTCTGTACGTAGCCTTTATATAATAGCAGTTTTTTAAAAAGCTGGAAGTTGAGTTGTGGCTTAAGTGGTAGACCATCAACCTTGGGTGAAAAGGTCAAATGAGTGTGAGGCCATGAGTTCAAGCCCCAGTATAGGCACCAAAAAAAAAAAAAACAAAACAATTCCACAATAGAAGAAGAATGGTAGTGTACACCTGAATATCAGTACTTAGTAGGTTGATACAAAAGGATTTACAAGCCAGGGGCGAGCTGGGAAGTTGGCTCAGTAGTAGAGTGCTTGCCTCGCATGCATGAGGCCCTGGGTTTGATTCCTCAGCACAATATAAGCAGAAAAAGCCGGAAGTGGCGCTGTGGCTCTAGTGGTAGGGCGCTAGCCTTGAGCTGAAGAGCTGAGCGACAGCACTCAGGCCCAGAGTTCAGGCCCTATGACTGACAAAAAAAAAAAAAAGCCAGGGGCCAATGGCTCATACCTGTAATCCTAGCTACTCAGGAGGCTGAGATCTGAGAATCTTGATTCAAAGCCAGCCCAGGACAAGAAAATCCATGACATGAGACTTTTATCTTCAGCAAACTACCAAAAAAAATTGGAATTGGAGCTGTGTCTCCAAGTGATAGAGTGCTAGCCTTGAGCAAAAGAGCTCAGGGACAGTGCCCAGGCCCTGAGTTCAAGCCCCACAACCAACAATAAAATAAATTCAGATCTCTGATGTTTTCCCCACTTTTCTACTTTCTTCCTCTTTAGCTGGGAAGCTCCTCTTTTGTTTGGAGTTCATTATTTCCTTTTAAGGCTTCTGGCTTCTTGTGAAGTTCAGCCCAGAATTGAGTCTAAATGGAGACTGAGCTTTGTTTCAGTCAATCTGGACGCAGGAAGTTTTGGGTTTTGGCATCTAATCCCTTGGTAGCAGGAAATGGAGACACCTGGCAAGGCTTCAAGGGCAAGGTATTCTTTGGGTAATAAGCCTTGATCCCAGCAGGTTCCTCAAAGAGTTCCTGAGATTAGCGCAAACTCAGGGCTTCTGAGTCTGGCCCTTGATATCAGAGCCAGCCAGGAAAACTCAAAGAGCAAGATGCAGTGTGGGGCTGCTATACAGGGATTTATAGACTTAACTGCTGGATAAGGGTGTAGGGGGTGGTCACAGTCTGGTACTCTGGTCCCCTGGTTTCCTGAGTGTCTAGTGGGGACCGGCAGAGGTGAGGTTAGTTGCCCAGCTCAGCTGTGGATTGGGGGTGGGAATGTATCTCCACCTGCTTCTGTTGTGAGAGCATCACAGAGTGCAAGCCCTGTGGACTTCAGTGTTAAGACTTGGGTCTGGGGGGAACTTGACTTTGTAACCTTTTCATGTCCAGAGCAGAGTCTGCTACTCTTCCCCAAGCTCACATCTGTGATGGTATAACCAGGATGCCTGCAGTCTTTTACCCGTGCTCCTGGCTGTAGACGGTAAGAAGATTCCTTGGTTTGCTTCACTACCCATATTCTTTTTCCCCAGGACTCAGCCACCTCCCAAGCTCCCTGTGGGCCCCAGCCACAAGCTCTCCAACAATTACTACTGCACTCGTGATGGCCGCCGGGAAGTTGTGCCCCCGTCCATTGTCATGACCTCCCAAAAGGTGCTGGTGGCAGGCAAGACGGCCGCGAGGTGAGGAACTCCAACAGCACCTGTCCACAGCTGTGCATGGATGTATCATTGGCCCTTCCACTCCATCTTATCTATCAATCAACCAGGCATGGAGGTACACATATATAATCCCAGCACTTTCCAGGCTGAGCCAGACTGATCAAGAGTTCAAGACCAGCCTGGGCTTCAGTAAGACTCAGTCTCAAAAAAGAAAAAAAGCATGAGGTGCCGGTGGCTTAAGCCTATAATCCTAGCTACTCAGGAGGCTGAGATCTGAGGATCATGGTTCAAAGCTAGCCTGGGCAGGAAAGTCCATGAGACTCTTTAATAAACTACTCAGAAAAAGCTGGAAGTAACTCCGTGGCTCAAGTGATAGAGCACTATCTGTGGGCAAAAGAAGCTCAAGGACAGAGCCCAGGCCCAGAATCTGGTTGGGGCAAAGGATGAGGAGATTCAGAAAGAAGGCCAGGAAGGAGCAGAAGGCTGTAAACTGCCACCCAGCAGGTAACAGGGATAGCTGTGAAAGGCCTTGAGTAGGATGCTGAAGGTCTGATAAAATGTTCTGACACTTGCTGGGTGCCGTTCACTCCTGCCTGTAATCCTAGCTACTCAGGAGGCTGAGATCTGAGGATCATGGTTCAAAGCCATCCCGGGCAGGAAAGTCACCGTGAGACTCTTATCTTAAATTAACCACCAGAAAACTGGAAGTGGAACTGTGGCTCAAGTGGTAGAATGCCAGCCTTGAGCTGAAGAGCTAAGGGACAGCACCCAGACCCGGAGTTCAAGCCCTGCAACCGACAAAAGAAAAAAGAAAAATTCTGACACTGCAGGAGTGTTGGAGTGTTGGTGGCTCATACCTATAATCCTAGTTATTCAGGAGCCTAAGATCTAAGGATCTCAGTTCAGTGCTAGGGTGGGGAGGGGAAGCAGAGAAGTCCATAAGACTATTATCTCATATTAACCAGCAAAAGCCAGCCGTGGAGGTATGGCTGAAGTGGTAGAGCATCAGCCTTTGCAAAGAAACCAAGTAAGAGTGTGAGATCCTGAGTTCAAGCCCTAGTACCAGCAAGAGAGTAGGGGAGGGGGAGAGAGAGAGAGAGAGAGTTCTGACCATAACTTGAAACTTTGAGAGAGACAAATAGGGCAGAGGTTCTGTCGGTTTTGCACTGTTCTTTGGAAACCTACCCTAATACAAGTCTGTCTTACTTTTTCCAGCTCAGAGGTTGAAGCCACAGAGAAGAAGGCCATAACGCCTGCTCCTCCCATGAAGAGGTGGGAGCTATCCAAGGACCAGCCTTACCTGTGACTTTGCCCCAGGCCCCCTGGTCATGGCCCCAGGGCCACCTGACTGCTTTACCTCCCTGGATTTTCTCTGGGGAGAATGTGACCTAATTTATAACAAATACATGTGACTATATCACTTCTGGTTTGTTTGTTTTAATAGCAGATGGGGACAGGTTCCCTCTACCTCCATGTGCCATCATGCCTGGCCTCCTATTTTTTTCTTTTACTTACTTTTTTTTTCCCCTGACAGTCCTGGGGCTTGAACTCAGAGTCTGAGCACTGTCCCTGGGCTTCTAGTGCTCTACCACTTGAGCCACAGCACCACTTCTGGCTTTTTCTTTCTTTTTTTTTTTTTGTTGATCATGGGGCTTGAACTCAGCCTGGGCATTGTCCTTCAGCTCTTCTGCTCAAGTCTAGCACTACCACTGAGCCACATCATCACTTCCGGTTTTCTGAGTGGTTTATTGGAGATAAGAGTCTCCCAGAGGGCTGGGAAGATGGCTCAGTGGTAAAAGTGCTTCCCTTGCATTCATGAGGCCCTGGGTTCAATTCCTCAGTACCAGAAAAAGCTGGAAGTAGCCCTTTGGTAGAGTGCTAGTCTTGAGCTGAAGAGCTGAAGGACAGTGCCCAGGCCCAGAGCTCAAGCCACATGACCAATCAAAAAATAAACATTTTAATGTTTTGTGGTGAAGCATGAGGCTGGATGTGGTGATTCACAGCTATAATCCCAGCTATTCTGGAAGTGCAGATAGGAAAATGGAGGTCAGGGCCAGTCTAAACCACAGTATACACATGCACACACACACAAGCACACACACATACACAATCACAAAATGAGTTGGCAGGATCCTATCAAGTCCGGTGGTATATGCCTGTAATGCCAGATAACTCAGAAGGCAAAAGTAGCAAGATCAGGGATCCAAATCTGGGCTGGGAAAAGTGTGAGATTCTTTGGAAAAAAATAAACTAAAGTAAAAAGGGCTGGGGGCAGTTCTATGAGGCCCTAGGTTCAAACCCCTGTACTGCCAAATAAAACTAATGCTAAGTATAGCATCAATCTTCAAATAAACCATTTCTGAGAAAAGATAGACTCCTGAATACAGCCTCCTGGGAAACAGGCAAACACTTAGCCTCTTATGGTAGAGGAGTGACATGTCTGAGGCCCTGCTGGAAATCAGATTCCTGGCTTGTGAAGGTAAGGTGACTTTTTTTGTTGTTGCTGTTGGTTGTGGGGCTTGAACTCTGGGGTCTGGACACTGTCTCTGAGCTCTTCAGCTCAAGACAAGTGCTCTATCACTAGAGCCACAGTGACACTTCTGGTTTTTTGGTGGTTAATTGGAGATAAGAGTCTCATGGACTTTCCTGCCTGGGCTGGCTTAGAACTGCAATCCTCAGATCTCAGCCTTCTGAGTAGCTAGGATTACAGGTGTGAGCCGAGGGCGCCTGGCTGGTGACATATTTTCAAGAGGAAAACCAAGCCAGTGGCAACTCAGGAGACTGAGAACTGAGGATCAAGTTCAGAGCCAGCCAGGGCAGGGAAGTCTGTGAGACTTCTCCCCTATTAACCATCAAAAAGCGGGAATTGGCTAGGTACTGGTGGTTCACACCTGTAATCTTAGTCACTGTTCAATACCAGCCTGAGCAGGAAAGTCATTAGATTCTTTGTTTATTTTATAGTCCTGGGGCTTGAACTCCAGGCCTGAGCACTGTCCCTGAGCTTTTTTGCTCAAGGCTAGCACTCTACCACTTGAGTCACACAGCCACTTCTGGCTTTTTCTGTTTTGTAGGACTGAGGAATTGAACCCAGGACTTTGTGAATGCTAGACAAGAACTCTAGCACTAAGCCACATTCCCAGCCCCAGTCCATTAGATTCTTTTTTTTTTTTTTTTCTTTTGCCGGTCGTGGGGCCTGAACTCGGCTTGGGCACTGTCCCTCAGCTCTTCAGCTCAAGGTGAGCACTCTACCACTTGAGCCACAGCACCACTTCTGGCTTTTTCTATTTATGAGGTGCTGAGCACCAGGGCCTCATGCATGCAAGGCAAGCACTCTACCACTAAGCTACCTTCCCAGCCCTCCATTGGATTCTTATCTCCAGTTAACCACTAAAGAGCTGGAAGTGGTGCTGTGGCTCAATTGGTAAGAGTGCTAGGCTTGAGGAGAAAAAAAAAATCTTCAAGGACAGTGGCTGGGCCTTGAATTTAAGCCCAGGACTGGCATATATGCACAAAATAAAATAGCTGGAAGTGGGGTTGGGAAGGTGGCTCAGTGGTAGAGTGCTTGCCTTGCATACATGAGGTACTGGGTTTGAATCCTCAGCACCACATAAGCAGAAAAACTCAGAAGTGGTGCTGTGGCTCAAGCAGTAGAGTGCTAGCCTTGAACTGAAGAGCTGAGGGACAGTGCCCAGGCCCAGAGTTCGGGTCCCACGACCACCCCCCGCAAAAAAATAGCTGGACTTTGGCATATGCCTCAAGTGGTAGAGTGCTAACCTTGAGCAAAAAATCCATGGGACAGCACCCAGGCCCTAAGTTTAAGCCTCAGTCCTGGCATCAAACAAGAACAAAAAAGGAAAACCCTAGCCATCTTAAAATGCTTACTTTGTACTAGTGGGAAGCCCTCAGGGTTATCCTTGTATCTTTCCTCTCTAGACAGATGAGACACATGAAGCCCACTCTGTGGGTTGGGAGAGAAGAGGATGATGTGAAATGATGGTGAGAGATGGCATCCAGGTGGAAGGATCAGTTGGGCAGAACAGAGGTTAGGACACAGTGATGATCAACACCACATCACAACCCTCTTGGAATTTAGAGTGGAGAATCAAATAATAAACCAACAAGCACCAAAGCAAAAGGAGGAGAGAACGAGGCACCTGGCTGCCTTTCGTCTGTGTGTCTGTGTGCTGTTTCCTATGCTTAAACTCAGGTTGGCATTCTACCACGTGAGCCACAGCTCCACTTCCAACTTTTTGGGTGGTTGTTAATTGAAAAGATTCTCATGAACTATGAACTTTCCTGTTCTGGCTGGCTTTGAACCATACTTCTAAGATGTCAGCCTCCTGAGTAGCTAGGATTACAGGCTTGAGCCACAGGTGTCCCAGCTGGCTGCCACATCAAATCATCAGACAGCAACATTTGCAACCTTGTACACATGGAATGAGAAGTGGTATGGGACACAGAGTAGTTCATCAAAATTTCTATAAGTTTCTGATTTCAAGTAAACACTATTAACCAGCAAGAAGCTCAAATTTTTCCTTCCTTCCTTCCTTCCTTCCCTCCCTCCCTCTCCCTCTCTCCGTCCTTCCCTTCCTTCTTTCTTTCTTTTTTCTTTTGCTTTGTTTTTTGCCAGCCCTAGGCTTGAACCCTGGGCCTGGGCACTGTCCCTGAGCTTTTGGGCTCAAGGATAGAGCCTTGAACCGCACTTCCACTTGTGGGTTTTTGTGGTTAATTGGGCTTTTCTGCCCAGACTGGTTTAGAACAATGATCTTCATATCTCAGGCGCCTGAGTAGCAAGGATTACAGGCCCAGGACGGCCTAGCAAGGACCCTCGCACTCTGATATTTACGGTAGGCGCAGCCGCGGGCGCCACACCAGCAGAGGACCTCGAGCCACGCCCCCTCTCTGATCCTGCGCGTGCGTAGAACTACAAGCGGGGCCGGCCGGTACTTTGTGGGTGGTTGGCGGCACGGCTGGGGCGGTGCGACTAGCGGCTGGATGGCGCGGGGCGGAGAACGACGGACGGTGGCTCTTGGCCTAGTGCTGCGGTTGCTGCTTGGCTTCGGACTAGGCCTAGAAGCCGCCCCAACTTCGGTCAGGACCCAGACTCCAATCCAGGCCCCAGGTGAGTTAAGTCCCCGCGTAGCCCGCCGCAGCCCCTCTAGCCGCTCCGCCCCGCCCTGTGCGCGCCGGGAACGCCTTGCCATTGGCTGCGGCGCTTGTCCGTCTCGGGGCACTCCCCCTGCACGTGGGGTTGGAATTCTCGCGCCGCGAACCTGCTAGCCTTGAATCTTGGGGGCGACCCCAGTCGTTAACTACCCCGCGCACTCCCACCACACACACTCCTGCCCTACACTGCCGTGACCCCCACTGTCACCTCCAGGCCGCCCTTGAGCGCCGCGCGGGGTGGACCGGGCTGGTGTTAGGCACCGCGTAGCCCGACCTCCAACCGCGCAGGGCGGCTGGTCGGTCACCAGGCGCCTCCCCGCTGCAGGTGCGCCTTCCAAACCAAAAAAAAAAGACAATCCCTTCTCCCCTCTTCCCGAGGCCTTGCGGCTTGTTTCTTGAGCAACTTAAGACAACTTTCCCAGATTCTCCTTGGCTTTCTGCCTTACAGAACGAAAGGGCTTCTTTTTAATCCCAGCTACCCCAGGCCCTTGAGTGGGTTCCCTCTCCACCCCCGCCCCAACTTCACAAGTTAAAATTGACCCATGTCGGGGGACACGTTCACCCTGACCCAAGTTGTATTGACTTCACTCTCTCCCCCCTCCCCCCCCCCTTTTTTTGGCGGGACTAGGAATTGAGCTGAGAGCCTCGTGCGCGTTCTACCGCTTGATCCATGCTTCCAACCTCCTTCTCCACTGGTTATTTTCGAGGTGGGGGTCTCGATTTATGCCTGGCCTGGGCTGGAATCCATCTTCTGCTTCTCATGTCTCTGGGGATGCCTGGTGGACTGCGGTCCAGCCATTGTGCTTCCCCCATAGCTGGGAGAACAGTTGTGTACCACTGTGCCCAGCCATTGGTTGAGATGGGCTCTCCTGGACTTTTGTTTGTTTGTTTTGTTTTTGGGGGCCTGAACTCTGGGCCTGGGCACTGTCCCTCAGCTTTTCAGCTCAAGGCTAGCACTCTACCACTTGAGCCACAGCACCACACTTCCGGTTTTTTTCTTTTTTGTTTATGTGGTGCTGAGGAATCGAACCCAGGGCCTCAGGCATAGCAAGGCAGGCGCTGTACCACTGAGCCAACTTCCCAGCCCCTCTCCTGGACTTTTATACTCAGGCTGGTCTCCATCCACGATTTCCTGATCTCTGCTTATCAAGTAGCTGGGATTACCGGCTTGAATCCCACCAACTGGCCCTCTTGCCTTTTTAAACTGGGAGTCACCCCTAAAGTCCCTGGATTTTTAAGTTAAGTGTTCCTGGA